AGAATTTCGTCCTCGGAATTCAAAAATAAACTAGAAAGCAATAAAATAAAAAAAAAATATACAAAGGGGACTCAAAACTCAAAGTTCGGATATCGCCTCCGAAGCTCGGCCTCCTTTTCCCAAGTCACCTCTGACTCGTCATGTCGGCTCCAAAGCACCTTCACCAAGCTCTCTGCCCAGTTCCTCAACTGATGGACCTTCTGGTCCAAAATAGCTACTGGTACCTCCTCGTAGGTAAGGTCTCGCTCGACCTGCAGTTCGCCGAAGTCCACCACGTGACCGGGATCATGCACGTATCTCCGCAACATCGAGACGTGAAACACGTCATGTACGCCCGACAAGCTAGGTGGTAAAGCCAGCCGATAAGCCAAGTTTCCGACTCGGGCAAGGATCTCGAAGGGTCCAATATAACGTGGTTTAAGCTTCCCCTTCTTCCCGAAGCGAATCACACCCTTCATGGGCGAGACCTTCAGGAAGACGTGATCTCCAACTGCATACACATGCTCTTGCCTTTCCCGGTCGGCGTAGACTTTCTGCCTCTCTTGGGCAAACCGGATATGCTTCCGGATAGCCTCAACTGTCTCCGAAGCTCTATGAATGAACTCCGGACCCATAATCTTCCTCTCCCCAACCTCATCCCAGTACAAGGGTGTTCGGACCTTCCGTCCATACAAAGCCTCGAACGGGGCCATCTTGATCGAGGAGTGGTAGCTATTGTTGTAAGTCAGCTCGACCAAAGGCAAGGCACTCTCCCAAGTTAGGCTACGGTCCAATACCACAGCCCTCAATATATCCTCCAAGTATTGGATCGTCCGCTCCGACTGACCATCTGTCTGTGGATGAAAAGTTGTACTGAATTCCAGCCTTGTCCCCATGGCTCGGTGCAATGTCCTCCAGAACTGGCCCGTGAACTTCGCATCTCGATTAGACACGATCTCAACGGGAACCCCATAAAGCTTAACTATCTCGTCCACGAACAACTCGGCATACTGACTAGCCTTCATTGTCGTCCGGACTGGCAGAAAGTGGGCAGACTTCGTAAGGCGATCCACAATTACCCAAATCGAATCATGCCCGGTCCTCGACCTCGGCAATCTCACTAGGAAATCCATGGTGATGCAGTCCCATTTCCACAAGGGAACCTCAAGTGGCTGCAACTTCCCTCTCGGTTTCTGATGCTCAGCCTTCACTTGCTGACACACTAGGCACCCATTCACGAACCTCGCCACTTTCCTTTTCATACCTCGCCACCAGAAAGACTTCCTCAGGTCCTGATACATTTTTGAACTACAAGGATGGACGGTGTACGGGGCACTATGGGCCTCTCTCAGAATCTCCCTTCGCAATGCCTACACCTTCGGAACACAAAGTCTACCCTCGAAGACCAAGGCCCCATTAGATGCGACTGCGAATCCACCAACTCTACCGACTTCTGACAACTCCCTCATCCGGCACAAGAAACGGTCATTCGGTTGCTCAGCGACTATCCTCTCTCGAAGAGTCGGTCCCACAATCAAAGAGGCCAACACGCCCCGACTGTCGAAGTCGACTCCACTACCTCTAGCTATAGCCGCTCGAACTCCCGAAGAAGAACATCCTGCCCGGTAAACAAGCAAGATAGCTGGCCATAACTCCTCCGACTAAGGGCATCGGCTACCACATTAGCATTCCCAGGGTGATAGCTAATGGTGCAGTCGTAGTCCTTGACCAGCTCCAACCATCT